GAATGACTAACCGGATTACTTGCTATTCATGCTAAGTCAAAGAAGCTGCATAAGCTGAATGACTAGCTGGATCTCTTCTGAATGAATGGATAGGATAGGATTTATATATATATGATTATGGCACCACGACATGAGCTTGAGTCTCATGATCGATGGTTAAGGCGCGTATATGCAGTGGATGCATAGCTGGCTATGATAAGTTGAGGTATACCCTGTTAAGCTTAGGTATTCATGCCCACTCAGGTGCGTTTTGCATGTTGCCTTCTATTCAGGTTGAGACCCTCTTTATAGTCCAGTGAATGTCCCTTAGTATGGATATATATATTTATGGATGGACTAGATAGATATTGTTGAGATATCTAAGATGTATCTGCGTGTCGAGTCTCTGTTTGGATTATAGTTAGAATAAAACTTGTTCGTGGGCCTGATCCACTATTATTTTTCAGGTATCGGACGGTTCCAGTCTTAGAGCATGTTCGTGCTGAGCAAAGACGGTCACTCATTCTTCCGACTGTATAGGATTTTTGTTTACATTTTATTTTGGATTTTCTTCCTAGTTTTGTTTATCTTCAGCTGGGTTTTGAATAGGGGTCTACGTAGTATGGATTCCCAAGTTGTAAAAGATGAAGGATGATTTGTATCAAAAGATTTTGTTTATCAATGGAAGTTTTTTGTTTATCGTTTTAGTTATTTTCAGCGTTTTTATTTATTCTTGTTAATCATATTTATATTCTGTGTTCGTGTATTACCATTTGATTTGATATCCTCGAGTAATCGGACGTGGGCCTGGCCAACCCGCATCTGGAAATTCGGGGGTATCACAACCGTCCTCATCACAACCACTGTGTCTTCACTGTCGAAATTTCTAATTTCTGTATTTGCTGGCCAATCAGAAGCTTGCTTGTTCAATTTTTCCTAATATATATATATATATATATATATATATATATATATATATATATTATTTTAAATATAAAATGAAATTATATAGATAAGGTATTTTAGGAATTTTAGTAAAAATAGTAGATGACGTCGTCAATTTTCATCGTTGACTGACGTTGACAGGGAGGTCCGTGTAGGATATTTTCAAAAGTAGGGGAGGTTCGTGTAATTTTCGAAATAAAAAAAGTATTTTATGTAATTAAGATAAATTATAAGAGAGGTCTATGTAAATTATCCTTAATGTAGACAAAAAGTTGTATGATTGAATGTGTGTGATAGGAATAGGATTATATTCATTTTGTATAAATTATGCAAAGACATTATGAAACTTTTTTCAAAATATTCATTAAAAATTATGGTAGGACCATATCACCTATAAGGCTATAACTACACTATATAAATTTTACACATCATGCTTTCAAGTTTCATTTAATTTTATAAAGGGGGACCAGTTGATCTATGGATCATTTTATCTTTGCAATTCAAGCATATGCTTCGTGTGGTCAAACACTTTAAAATCATGTAAAAATTGGTGAAATTCTAGTAGGGAGAGTAACTTCGATCTTTCATTCTTTTTTTCTATTCTTAATATAACCAAAATAATGGAGAACATTTATGAAAATAATAATAATAATAATAATAATAAAACGAGAGAACTTATACCATAAAAAATTAGGATAAAATCTAAAAGGCACATAGTGAGAGAGAAAAGAACCATCTGAGTCAAAAAAAAAATGAGGCCGCCAAGGGCTAATATATATATATATATATATATATATATACCAAGTATTATATATATAAAGGGCGTAAATATAAATAAAAATAAACCTTGACTTGTAAACCCCCTACTTGTGTTTTTATTTTTATTTTTTTTTAAGCACAAAACTCCTGTCAACTAAGCCGTGTGCTCAGTTAGTTTTTGAGGTAAAAATGCCCTTACCTGCTTAAGTCAAGTTCAACCTGAAAGTAGTATTAATATGTTGTAAAAATAACTTCTATTAGAGGTGTCCCACATCAAATTCAAATAGAAATTAAAATAAATATAAATAGATTGAATGTTAGCACCATCAAATAACTTAAGTTTTTGGATCGAATAGCAAAGCACCGTTCTTTTATGTTGGTAAAATGTGCATAAAAGAATTAGATGTTTGCATCACCTAATGACTACCGATGGTGTAATATTTCTAATCCAACAATGATAATTATTAATTACTAAGAAAGCTATTTTAATAAATAAATTGGGGGGCCAATGTACTTTTTTTTTTTCTTTTCAAACCCACCATTAATAATTATTAAAGGTGGCCTATAAACATTTCAATCCTAATTAAGTTAGAGTTTAATTTGTATTTGTTTGTAGCCAAACTCAAAACTGCTTGTACTTGATTGCAATATGTGTGTAAGGATGTAGATGCTGTCACGAAAAAATAAGCATGTATTGTACGCAAAGCTACCTAAACATGATTTTTACATGCACTCAAAAGAAACTTCAATAAGAAATCTTCTTGTCATACTAATTTTGTCCTCCTTTCAAACAAAAGATTGAGAGTTAAAGACTAATAAAACATCACGGTTTGAAATTTACTTATGTAGTCCTACTGATTAGGTTGCTTTCCATATTAGGGAGCTCCTTGCATCTTCCCACTCCCTTCTAATCACTAGCTAATTCTTAACATTTTTGTCATTAAAAAAAAAGGGACAAAGTATACAAAACCTCCCTCGACTTGTAACCTTTTTTCAGCAAACCCTCTTTGTCTATTTTTTTACCAAAAAACCCCCATCGACTTGTAACTTTTTTCCAATAAATTTTCCTTGTCTAATTTTTTATCAAATAACCCCCCTCAACTATCTGAAGGAGATAAAAGAGTTGATATTTAGACCAAAATGTCCTTTTATTTAAATCTTAATTCTCCCAAACTTCAAAAATTTATATCTCTTAAACGGTACATTTAAAAATTATAAATAATATATGCATGAAAAGCTTATGAAGTAAAGATTCCAAAAATATAAGATTTATATAATAAACCTCCATAACCATAGAAAAATATGCAATCTAAAAATCTACTCCAATAATCTTATTTTATTTTTTAAAAATAAAATATTCGAGATATTTGCAAGGAAATTTTCAGAATCATTCATTTACATATGGAGCCAAGTATATAAAAAAATTAGCCCCAACAGAAATCGATTTCATGAGATATCATATTTTGCGTCAAAGCATTTTTCATTCTTTTATAGACTCACCATTTAAAAAAAAAAAAAAAATGAATATTCAGTCTCTATTGAGGCTAATTTTTTTATATGTTATGCTCCATATGAAAATGAATAATTTTGAAAATTTTCTAGCAAATAACCCGAGTATTTTATAAAAAATAAAATAAAATAAGATTGTTGCAGTAGATTTTTAGATTATCAATTTCTCTCTGGTTATAAAATTTTATTAAACAAATCTTATATCTCTAAAATCCTTATTTTATAAGCTTTCCGTTGATATATTATTTGCAAAATTTGGATTTACAATTTGTGAGATATTAATTTTTGAAATTCGAGAAAATTAAAATTTAAATAAAAAGGCATTTTGGTCCAAATATCAACTCTTTTACCCCTTAGATAGTTGAGGGGGGTTCTTTGGTAAAAAAATTAGATAGGGGGATTTATTGGAAAGGGTTACAAGTCGAGAGGATTTGTTGGAAAGGGTTACTGGAAAACGCTACAAGTCGAGGGGAATTTTCTGTACTTTGCCCTAAAAAGGGTAAAATGCAAAAAACCTTTTCTGAATTATTAGCTTTTTGCAACTAACCCTCCTGAAATAAATTGCCCCCCTAGACTATTGGTTTGTTGCAATTAAGGACAAACCCATCACAAAAGACTATTTTACCCTTTGTTATTAAATTTGTCATTTCTTATTAAATTATTTTTTAGTATATTTTCTCTTATTTAAATATTAATTATACCATTTACCTTAATTTTATAATTAGTATCAATTGATTATAAAAATAAAAATAAATAAATAAATTTGTAGCTATCATTTTCTAAAATGATTAACTTATTATAATAAAACTTATCATACTCACTTTAAAAAAATTTAGTATAAAAAATATTTTCTTTTTCAAACAATATTCATGAAAAATTAATAAATTACGTAAATAAAAATATCTTCTTTTTAATGCAATATATTCATGAAAATTAAGAAATTACTTAAATTGTTTCAAAATTTTCTATTTAAGATTTTTATTTAAATAATTAATTTAAAAAATTAAAGGCAAACTTATGCAAATTTAATGGAGAATATTTCATCAAATTAGTATAAATTTTTTTCATAATTTATTTTAACAAGAAAAATATATCTAACTAGGACGATGCGGACGATCAGTCTTTCGTCCGTACAAATAGCACCAACCCGTAACCTATGTTGTATTGGTGGAGTAAGCTTTGTTTACCCTTCTTCCATTCGATGAACCACTATCACCTCGTGTTCGGCGTGTGGTCTGTCTCTCATCAACGAAGTCGTGACTCTCTTCACGCGCTTCCTAAGGAGACTCGTCCATTAGGTCGTAGCTAGGCTAGGTCGTAAGCGAAAGAGTCTTTCTATATGAAATAGATTGCAAAGAAGAGGCATCGTCCGGACGCGAGCAAGACGGATCATCCGGGGTGACAATCGCAAACATTATATATACCATATTTGGTTAGAGAATTTGCACCAAGATGTAGATACAGTCCCAGGGGTCAACAGTTCTTCTCCTTAATCCAAAAGCGAATCAGCAAGCGAGGAACTCCCTTCCGAAGTGTAATTTAATAAGAAATGGTATTATGGTCATTTAATGAAAAATAGGTAAAACAATGGGGTATTTTACAACTAAATGTAATAGTTTATGGAGTTTTATGCACAAAACATAATTCTAGGGGATATTTGCAAATTTAGACATAGTTGAGGGAGTTTTTTTGCACTTTCCCCTAAAAAAAATTACAAACCCCCAAAAAAAAAATTGGAAATCTGAATCATCCAAACGCACCCAACCTAAGCGAGAAAGAGAGAATATATTTAGCTGGGAGTAGTCATCTACTTCAACAATGAGCCGTCCAATTTGCTCTTACTATTCCACCACGAGGCTTCCATTAAATTAATACAATTTAGATAATTCTTCTTCCTTCACATTTTCTTGAGTAAAAGAAAGTCTATCAAATCAAGTTCAACTTTCAAAACCTAGTACAAACTACTGGAAAAATGCAAAAGATAGAAACAGCAGATAATACAATGTGCAACTTGGGAAGTAGAAGCATGGAACTGGGCGTATCAACTAATAATCCTTGCCCAAATCATTTAACAACTGGCTTGATCTCGGTTCCCAACTACTCAAGAAAACACATCCCCGGCGAAGAGAAGGTTACAAATTATTTCCTCCATGGGAACAATATCTTGAGAATGTCCGTCAGCTTGAAGGCACTTCTTCTCCTTCACATATAATTCCACTTCACGAATTCTGCCACTTCTTTCAAGACCAGCTAATAGAACATCGTACGTCCCCAATGCAACGTGAATCCCTTTATTTTTCATTGCCTTGAATACTTTAAGCCCTTTATCACCATTTCTAGAAAAGAAGTAGGCATAAATCAAAGCAGTGTAAGTGGCCGTGTTCTTCTGGTCGTCAGGCAATAGATCAAATACCTTTGCGGCAGAAACAGGATCTCTAGCACAGCCGAGCCTATAAATTAACAGTGCACCCAGATAAGTTCCAGGATAAAGTCCAGCCCTCGCCATTTCCTCAACAACCACCACAACTTTCGGAAATGAATTTGTTCTGACGAAAACACCAATCAAGGCAAGATATGCAGTTCTCTCGATATTTATTCCCATTTTCAAACTGTATTCAAAGGCCAACAAAGCACCACTTGGTCGGCAATGAGCACTATTTGCCTCAATGATGATTGAGATAATACCAGAGTACAATGGAGTATTCTTATCCATCATGCTGGAAAGTAAGCAATCAACAGCAACAAAATTTTTCCTCATCAAAAAATTTAATATTACTCCTCTGTCTATTGTGGAGTGAACATCAGAAGTAGCTGCAGAAAAGTCGTCTGTCTCTTCCTTAATGCATTCAGTAGAAACATGAGGATTAACTTGCTGAAGGAGCACATGACTCTCACCAGCAATTTTTAGAGTTTCAAGTGCTTCCAGATATATAGGGTAACGAAGGACGAGGAAATTTTCTTTCATATACTGAAGAATTTGGGTCATTGCCCATGTTTCCCCTGCTTTGCAACATTTCTCAACCAAAATGTTGCACGTAGCTTTATCAGGTAGTACTCCAGATTCCTGCATTTTACTGAAAATATCCAGAGCTGCTTTGTATTTGCCTGAAACCCAGTGAAAAGGAATTCAATAACCGTCAGATACGAAATCAACAATTTTTTTTTTCCCTAATTGGTACTCACACACACGTCTCTTTCAAGACTTGAACCTCTGACCTCCCTTTGGGAAGTAAGAGGCTGATAGTGCTAGGCCACTTGCCCGTTGGTATACGAAATCAACAATTCATTATACCATTCTTGCAAAATATATATATATATATGCTATCGTGTGTGTATATACATGTTTAATCATATGTATGAGTATACATATATGTATATTTTCATTTATAATATAGATATACACATTATATAAAGACAAACATATTTGTTGCGTAAATATGTCACTGAACAGTCATATATACACGTGTTTGAGGGTAAAAAAGTTAAAAGGGGGAGGGTACCCTCCTCTTCTATGTGCAGTTTTGGGTGGACATAGTTTTCACACAAAGGTCAAGCTCCTCCCACCTTCTGTTTTCTCCCTCTCTGCCACTACCAAATAAGGGGAGTCCCCCTTCCCCAAGAAAAAAAAAAAAAGTGATTGTGAAACCAAACCCAGGAAAAAGAAGTCTTAGAGTAACCAAATCTCACAACTGATTGCTCCACCTCAACCAAACCACTAACACAATCACCTTTATCATCATCATGACCCCCAATATCCTCCACACAAAGGAAAAATACAACCCATTTCCACCATGTTCAAACTTCAAATCATGACAAAAATAAAGAAAAATCCAAACAAAAGCATTGAAGTCCAATTAAAGCAAATCAAATCTTGTATGACATAAGAAAGAGTTAGAGTCAACTCAAGAAAGCTTCGACCTACTTATCAAAAAAAGAAGAAAACCTCGACTCCACATACTTGGATTTAGTTACATGTATCTTTCTTTGTCACTCAACTCCATTTTTGCTTTTGCCCTTTTTTTGGTGCCCCAAATAGAACGAAATAACTCCTTTTGACAATTTATTCACTGGTCTTCATTCCTCATTGCCTAATCATCCTAAATGAATTTCCCTAATCGTATTCAACTGGTCCATCCCTAACCTTGCACGATATTAATATTTTACTCTTATCTTTTCTTGTGGATTGTCTAAAGTGCCAGGTAGCTAGTCTCAAACTGTTCGACTGGTTGCAGAGATATTTAAGGGCAAGTCATTCCCAAATTGCTAATTAAAATTGTTTTCCTGCCCTGGTTTACCATACTTTGTTGGGTTGAGTTAAATAATAGAAATTTTTAGAACCAAAGGTTCAATTTTGGTAAGATTTCAAAGGTTGCAAAAAGCAAATTGGCTAGAACAGGGAATCAACGATTCAGCATAGGTGCAATGCATTTACAGTCCATTGGCAGGATGCAGTAATTAAAAAGTAAAAACTAGCTATTCTTTTTTTACCAAGTGTGCTGAAGTTTCCATAGTATGTTTGTTATAGGATACAGCTAGAATGTGGCTCATAAAGTTCGTATTTAAGTATAACTTGGGAGAAGAGGTATGCCTGCTTAACCTGTTTGTAGTTTCAGAGGGCATACCCTCGGTGATCATTATATTTAAATTTTTGGTCCTTAATAATAATCATTTTTACCTAGCAATTGTAAGGAAGATCACTCGCTGAGATTTTATGAAAATCCAAAGCTTTAAGCCACAATAAACAATATCTACACGAAGCCACGTTGAGTGGGAACAATAATGTCAACACACATAAGCTCCGAGGTTAGAGTAGCTTTAGTGGCAGAGGTAATTATTATTTTTTTTTTAATTGCATCTATAAAGACAAGAAAATTCAAGTTCGAGGATCAAATAGTAATGGTTCAAATACAGCCAATGGTCAATGAAAGTACAAGGTTGTAGCAATGAAAGGATGCAAAAGTTCAATAAGAAAGCACCCTTAAGCTTGAAGTTTACTGATGAATTACTGTATTTAGATATATTGTACCTAACAAACATTATATTCAACAAATTCAACAAAAGAGAGAAAAAAAAAGTAAATAAATACTAACAAACGAAGAAAGGAGCATCTATGTAAATTTATATAGAGTTTGCTCACTCTCACCAGAACCAGCAAGATGCTCCATTAAGACTGTGTATGTGTAACAATTTGGCGAACAACCAGATTGAAGCATCTCCTTGTAGACCTCAGCGGCCTCCTTCGCTCTGTTCTGATCAAATAAAACCTTCATATACGCAGTATAAGAAACAACTGTGGGATGACATCCCTTGGCTTTCATCTCCTTCCAAACCTTTGCTGCCCCATCAAAATCCCCATCATTGGAAAGCCAATGCAGAAGGGAAGTGTAAGTAACAGCATCAATCTTGATCCCTTTCTCCTGCATCTGCTGAAAAACATAGTTCATTGACGAAATCCTTCTAGCTTCTCCAAAAATATCCAGCATGGTTGTATAAGTAAACTGGTCATGCTTAAAACCTTTCAACCCAGAAGCCCAATTGAAAAACAACCAGGCCTTTTCCATTGGAGGATGGGTTTTGAGAACTTGATTGATTGTGTAAGAATCCCATCTTAAGGTGAGCTTCTTTAGCTGTTCTTGAGCAACATCCCAAGTTGAATACCTTAAAATATTTGATATGTTTCTAACGGTATCCCTTGTATAAACTTTTACATCAAGAGATTCTTTCTCAGCTGATTTGTAAGATTTCCTCATCCGTCTGTTAATTTGTCGAATAGTTCTCCGTTGTTTAAATTGGTGAAGGGAATGTACCCCTTTATTGGAACTTCTGTTCCAACAGCCAAAAGGCTTATCACCATAGATAGCCAAAATGGGGTTGTATTTTTTGAGAAATCGAAGGGTAGCATGAGAAGTGAACATATATAACCAACAAAACTCTTCATAGGCAATTTGTTTGAATTAATGTCCACGGCCACAGGTCAGCGAGGAGCAGCAACAGGCAATTACATTATCAGACATCTAGCTCCCAACAAAGATAGCTATAACCAAAATAAACCCATGATCAAAGAACTAATATAGTGCAAAAATCAACAAAACAAAAACAAAAAGTGCTTATTCGTTAAAGATAATATTGTAATCTCAAATTTTCTTGAAGAAAAGGAATCTGCAAAAGTCAGATTTTACTCATCTGAGTCATCTCAACTTAGCAACCCATGAGGCTAACCACATACATGGACCCATTTTTGTACAATCAACAATTGTGAAGTCATTATAGTAGTTTGGGTTACTGAAAGAAAATGGAGCAGAGGAAATGACTCACGATAATGGATATTAGTGAAAGGGGACTTTGGTCGAACACAAGAAAGAAAATTTGCTCAGGGACTCCATTCAGACGAACAAAACTATTATGTAGGAGAGATTGAGAAAAAAGAGAAAAAAAAAAAGAATTATTGGGTCCTCCTCAAAAACACTGGTAACAGACTGTAAAACCGAAACCCAATCACTGAACAGAATTGACACGGAACAACATCAAAATCACACACAAAGATAAAAACACCATTGAAATTAAACTCAAAAATTCTCAAAAAAAAAAAAAAAAAACAAAACAAAACAAACCATTGGAATCGAACTAAAAAAGAATTAAAAAAAAAAATCAATGGAAAGACAATACCTGTGAGAAATTCTGCAACTCCTCGCCAAGTGACCTCCTGCAAGCTGCGTGACTCTCTCTCTCTCTCTCTGCGTTTCTGAGAACGATGACGTATTAAGCGAAAACTGGCTCAATTTTGTGCTAGTGAACGATGAGTGTGGGCCGACACTCAACAAGATCAACACCTGTGGGGCGGAATAGTTTGGGCCGACTACGCTAATTAGTGTAGAATTATTATATTTTAAACTTTCTCACTCAAAAGGAAAACACAAAGTCGTTGTAGTATAGTGGTAAGTATTCCCGCCTGTCACGCGGGTGACCCGGGTTCGATCCCCGGCAACGGCGTCATATTTTTTGTTTCCCAGTTATAATCTTAACAGCTTGGAACCCTATAATCTTCCAGTATTTCAGACCAAAAAAAAAAACGATTTGGACCCAACAATAAGTCACTTTTTTTTTTTTTTTTTAATTAAATCATGTGCCCATTTAATACTTTTAGTTATGCTAACCCAGAAAAGGTTGAAGAGTCAGATAGATGGTCCAAAAGATGCTATTATGATACAATTACCTAAATAAATTTATTGACAAGTGGTTTTGTTAATTAATATAAGGGATATGATATCTTCTGAGAGATTCTTTTGTAACAAATCTGCATAATTAAAGAGATGTTGTTTCTTGCACATCTATAATTGATGTTTATTCAGAACCGGTCAGTCAATTACCACTATATGAAATCATCAAACTTGTGCTTCTCAGCTGGCGAATGAACCATCATTACTGAATCCGCAAGGAAAGAGAAAGGGAAGGAAAGAACTTGTGGTTGCAGCTCCACTCAAGTTACTTACCCAAGCTCATGACTTTCTTCATAGAGACAGCTCATGTTCAAAAATTGTAGAATGAAAATGACAATGCACCAAGCAATGTATCCTCCATGAAAGGAGAATAGTTACACAAGAAAACGTGAATCAAGAGGTCAATGATCTCCCAAGTAGCTGTCAATATTGATTTTTGAACTGGATAATTGGTATCTGATGGCATCGTGAAAGTGAAAGATCGATCACCCATGGCAACTAAGTCCAAGAAACTTTTCCACTTCCTTCAAGAATTCTAAAACTAGTAACTATCAAAACTGTTCAACGAAATCATCCCTTGTTCAACTCTGTTTTCAAAAGACCAGTAACTATCAAAACTGTTCAACGAAATCAACCCTTGGTCAACTCTGTTTTCAAAAGACCCTTTTTTATTTGCTTTTTTAGAACAAGAAGCTATTCTTAGAGAAACCAAACCATGCATGCAGTCCCATGTTTTTGAAGAAACTGAGAGTGCCAAAGCAAATCCATCTGAAAATTGACATTCACTTCGTACACAATGCTATTATCTTTTTCATTTACCCAATTTAGTACATGCATTGAATATCAATTATAAGTACATTAATAACAAATTCAAACGAACAAACGAACAAACCCTCCTGCTAGAATCTTACTCATTTACCTAAACAAATGCAGAAAGCGTCAATTATAAGCATACAAAAATCAATTCTTCTGAAGGAAAAAATAATAATAATAATAACAGCATATTAATTTTGCCTATATGCTATGTAATTCGCCAAAGCAATCAATGGCACCGCCTTCTCTTGATTGAACCCTGCAAGCTGATCTTTGGCCTCATTGTTCAATTTCTCAGCAAACTTCCTAGATTTCTCAATACCAATCAGTTTTGGGTATGTCACTTTTTCAGCCACCAAATCTTTCCCTGCTGTCTTCCTTAATTCTCGGGTCAACTTGGTCACATCAAGGATATCATCTACAACCTAAAACAACAACCCAATTAGGAATGGCAATTTGACCGGCCCCCGCAGTTACCCGCCCCACCCCGTTTTTGACGGTTTTGAGGAACCGTTTAGCTTATTTGGGTGATGATGGGTTGATATAATAAAAATCCGCACGAGTTTGGTGCAGGGGTGGGGGAAGGTCGCCCCAACCCGCCCCGCCCCGCTCCGTTTAGATAGGCAACTTACTTAAGTACCCTTATTTCATTATTATATATATTTTTCATTATATATATTAAGTACCCTATATAATAATATTAAAGTAACAAATGAATTTTGATTAGAAAGAAAGTTGCGATGGTGAAGAAATGAAGATGAGGAAAAAAAAAAAAAAAAAAAGAGCAAATCTATTGCAACAATGAATAAATTATGGTCTTAAACGGGGTGGGGCGAGTATCTTCGGAGGTAAAAATGTTAAACGGTTGCGGGGATGGGGTAGAAAGTCCCCCCGTTTTTGCGGTTTTGGGCGGGGATGGGGGCGGGGTTTTTAAACGGTTGCGGGTGCGGGGGAGGGTACACCCGCCCAAACCCGCCCCTGTTGCCATCCCTAAACCCAATGCATCTACCAAACTTTATGAGTTTCTCAACTTCTTCATTTGACCCACCTCCCAAAATTGCTCCAAGAACCACTAAACCCTCCAATAAAACTGCAGTCCTGTGCACATGAATGAACTCAAAGTGCTCCAATCCAACATCAAACACTCTCTCAGAACTCATATCAACCACCTGCCCTCCAACTAACCCTTCAAACCCATTTGCTTGAGCTAATTCACCAATCCCATGCACAATTCTCTTCGATGACACGCCGACCGTGGCAGTTGCTATGTGCTCGAATGCGAAGGCAAGGAGGCTGTTACCAGCTAAACCAGCCACGTCTTCGCCAAAGAGTTTGTGGTTCGCGGGCTTCCCGCGGCGGAGGTCGTCGTTGTCCATATAGGGGAGGTCGTCGTGCATCAGAGACATGGTGTGTATCATCTCCACTACGCAGGCCGCCGACATGGCGGTGGACTCGTGGCCGCCAACCATCTCACAGGCAGCAATGCAGAGAAGGGGTCGGACCCTCTTGCCGCCGGCAAGGAGAGAGTACCGCATTGATTCGTGGATCATTTGAGGCTCCCGAAGTGAAACGGCAGTGTCCAAGACTTGGTTCACTGAATTGGCATTTTCAATCATGTAGGCCTTGAAATTGAAGGTTGACAGTGAAGATTCTACATGGGTTTGTTGTTTTTTGTGAATGTTATCGTCCTCGACAATCTGTTCTTTGGTGAGAGTTGCAGAGACAGAGAGAGAAGAGAACGAGATGGGAAGTGTTGCTGGGTTTGGGAAGAAGAGAGATGTGGGTTTGGTTCTCCGAGAAGATCTGGATCTGTTAGGAAGATCATAATGGGATTTCACCCATGTTGTGCTCCAATTGGCAACACTCATTTTTTGAAGCTATGGATGAATGGTGGTGTTGTGTATGTGTTTGTATATTAAGGAAGAGAGAGAGAAACTAGAAACTGAAGATTTGAAGCTGATAACTTTTCAAATTGCAGTAAATTCCACATACAATGAAAAGTGAGTTTAGAGAGAGTGTGTGCAAGGCTTTGAGTGTGAAGAGCGGCATTACTGACCCATACATACACTTGAATAGCAACGGCAATGTGGATTGGTTGCTAATTAATGTGTATATTTTGTCTACCCTATAAGTAACTGCGACGTATGAAAAATTTATATATATAATAAATGAAACTTCCTCAATATGCTATTAGATCTCAAATTTCAGATAAGAAATTGCAAACTTGTTTACAACATTTGTAGGTATGCGAAGATTTTGATTGGCAAGTTTCTTCATTGAAATAAGATACCACTTTTAGTGCATGAAAATAACATTTTTATTACATAAAATACATCACTTATTGGTAGGCATAAAATACATCACTTATTGGTAGGCACCTTATAATTTCATAGCAATTTTGATCCTCATCTTTTGATGACCATTAATTTTTCATACAATGTAAATACTTTACCTAAATATTATTATATAATTAGAAGAGGTATTCATTTTATACTTTTACAAAAACTTAAAGTGCACTAATTAAGAGACAAAATCAAGAAAAGTCATTTAAATAATAGGAATTTTCACTATTCATATAAATTTGCGACCAAATCGCCACTTAGAAAGTGATATCTTACCTCAGCAAGAACAATGTGATTAACATTGAAGCACTAAGAGGCAAAAGTCAGATTCTACTCATCTCTATTTATCAACCCATAAGGCTAACCAGATTGGGTCGTGTACATGGACCCAATTTTTGTACAATCGAGTATGGAGCAGAGGAAATGATTCACAATAATGGATACTAGTGGAAGGGGAATTTGGTCGAACATCTGGTGAGGGACTCCATTCAGACGAATAAAGTACTATAACGTTGACAAAAATTAATTATTGGGTCCTCAAATATACTGGTACCAGATTGTAAAACCTAAACCCAATCACCGAACAGAATTGAAACAGAACACCATCAAAGTCAAACTCGTAAACACTCAAACAACACCGTTGAAATTAAACTCATAAATACTCAAAGAACATTATTGAAATCAAACTAAAAAATACTCAAAAAAGGCCATTAAAATCGAACCCTAAATTTAAAAAAAAAAAAAAAAATCGATAGAAGAACAATACCTGTGAGAGAGTTTCTGCAACTCCACGCCAAGTGACTCCCTAGTCCCTGCTCGCTGCGTGACACAGACACTCTCTCTCGTTTCTGAGAACGGTGACGTATCAAGCGAAAACTGGCCCGATCGCCTAGAATTTTGTGGTACGGACCTGATTAATTAGATGAATACGGGCCGGTATGACTTGGGTATAATATTATTATTATTATTAGGGTAAAAAAAAAAATTCGTGAACTATATTTGAATTTGCAAATAACTTGCATAAAATTTCAAAAACTATCTCATTTTGTTGTAACATACCCAAGGATTATACTATATTTCATTAAATATACATAATGTCCCTTCTTATTGAATTACATTTAATATATTTTTCTTATCTAAATAAATCATGAAAAAAATTATACTAATTTGATGAGATATTTTTTATTAAATTTGCATAGATTTGCCTTTATTTTTTAAAATTAATTATTTAAATAAAAAGTTTTAGTATAATATTTTAAAAAAATAATTTAATTTTTTAATTTTTAATGAATATATTACCTGAAAATAAGGTATTTTTTTCAAAAGTATTTTATCAAATTTTCATCAATATATTGTATGAAAAAAATAATATTTTTTTACGATAAAAATGTTTAAATAGGTTATAAAATGTTTTATTATAAATAATAAGTTAATCAATTTAGAAAATGGCAGTTACAAATTTATTTATCTATTTTTTTTCATTTTTACGATAAATTGATATTAAAAATAAAATTAAGGTAAATACTCTAATTAATATTTACATAAGAGAAAAGATAATAAAAATAATTTAATAAGAAATAAAAATTTTAATGAGAAAGGGTAACATAGTCTTTTGTGATGGATTTGCCCTTAATTACAACAAATCAATAGTTCAAGGGACGATTTTTAGTTCAGGGGGTTATTTGCAAAAGGGTAATAGTTTAGGGGTTTTTTTTGCACTTAAGCCTTATTATTATTATATTTATTTTTATTTTTATTTTCTTTTTTTAATTAAGTTCAACCAAACATCTACTTTATATTTTTGGCAAAAGATAGTAGAATCAGCAAAGAAAACAAAAAGTTGTAATTTGCCCGAGATATTTCCCGGAATACAAATTAAACCCACGGATCTATCTAAATGATAATAATTTCTTAATAGTAGTACTGTGTAACACATTTCTATGCATCACTAAATTAATAAAAGGTTTTACTTTTACTTATATTCATTCATCCTTTATTGTATTTTAAAACAATAAATTTTATAATTCCTTCATAGTATGTCTAATATTCTAGAATTTTTCAAATAATAGCTACAACTCTATAAAATTTTGTGCTCTTCTATAATACTTTGGGAAAATTATATTTTGGTGACCAAAATTAAATATAATTGCTATATAGTGACCTTAAAGTCAAGAAAAGGTGAATAGTGACCAATTTTGAAACTTAATTGATATTAAGTGACCATTTGATGGTTTATTACCTAAATAGCTTTCTTATAATATATTATTATGTAAATAGACAAATTTACCCTCTACATTAACCTAAATAAACACTTACTTAAATTGATTAACAAAAAGACAACAGATTATTATGGTGAGTCTTTGAAGAGAAGATCAAGATGGGAGAGAACTGATGATAGATATTATACATCATTTTCTTCAAGATTCTAAGAGACATGACGAGAAAATTGTAAATTTTCTTCTTATTCATTATTTTCAAGGTATAGTTATTATACTTTACGAGTTGATTTGTCTGAGAGATCTTCCTTAAGATATAAGATTGTAATTTTTAGGAATTTTTAATACTACTTAGTTATAGTTCAAGAAATAATGACTATTGTTAATTAATTTCATAATTTTACTAACTGTTAAAGGGTGTTTCAAAAGTATGATTTGCCACTGTAAATGTTATGAGCATTTATGTTGGAGAGCCTTAAAAAATAAATAAAGGATGGAAAAGAGATAATGTTGATAAAGAAATTTTAATTTTTTAAATTGGTAAATTGTAAACTAAAAAGGAAAATATTAGATGGTTGAGAGCTTTGAAAAATAGATAAAGGGTGAAAAAAAGATAATGTTGGTAAAGAAATATTAATTTTTTAAATTGGTAAATTATAAACTAAAAAGGAAAAAAAGAAAACGTTGGATTAGAGAGAGAGAGAGTAGGAGGAGGATGAATTTAATGACTTATTATTTATATTGGATGGCAATTTTGTCATCTAAAATTTATTTTTAAAATGTTTATTAAACTTTTAAATGTTTTTGACCAAATTATCCTTAAATGGTCACTTAATATCAATTAAGTTTCAAGATTGGTCACTATTCATCTTTTCTTGACTTTAAAGTCACTATATAGCAATTATGTTTAATTTTGGTCACCAAAATATAATTTTCCCTAATACTTTCTACTCTTTACACTTATTTATAGAAATTATACATGGAATCAGACCCTATAGTGATATAGAGTTAAAAGGTCCCCAATGGGAGAAGAGATCCCAAAAAAGTCATCTCATTATTTTTAATTATACACTTATTTTTTAATGCATTGATTATGTTTTGTTTATTGTATTAATTACCAACTATTATTAGTCAGTACAACTCAGCAGCTAAGGCCCAAATGAGAGAAGAGAACCCATACAAGTCAATCTCATTATGTTAATTATTTACTTTTAACGATTTGGTTTAGGCTGGTGAGAACCGTGCCCGTAGAACCAGACACTGTTTGGTGAATGTCAAGTTTCTATACAAATGTAGGATAGGGGAGGGTTCACTTTTCTTCCCAGAAACATTTATCACTTTCTATACAAGTTTCTATTCATTTATCACTTTTCTTCCCAGAGACGTACAGCTCAGGTTCAAAATTTATTAGCTGAGGAATGAAAATGACAATATACCGAACAACCTGTACTCCATGAAATCAGAATTGTATTGGTAGCATGTGTTCATCCACACTAAAACGTGGATCGAGAGGTCAACGATTTCCAACGTAGCTATCAATATTGATTTTTGTATTGGATAAATGTATGCAGAAACATCTCAAGTGTGTGTACCCACGACAATGAAGTCCACGAAATTTTAAAAACAGTAACTATCAAAATTGTTCTCTGAAATCATTCCTTGTTCAACTCGGTTTTCAAAAGACGAGACTATAATTGAATTGCTTTTGTCTTTTTCCTAATTTTCCCAACTGTTTGAGAACAAAAAGCTATTCTTAGAAAATTAAACCATGCAGTCAGTCCAGTCCTATGTGTTTTAAAGAAACTGAAAGTGCCAAAGCAATCAATCTGAAAATTTGACATTCCCTTCACTAGTAAGTTCAAATACAGATACAATCCATGAGCTTTTAATCAATTTGTAAGAGTTAATTTAACGAAAATCAAATATTTATTGAAGAATTGAGATACATCTGATACAAGCTCACCTACTAATATCTTTTTCATTTACCCAATTGAATTCATGCAGTGAGCAACAATTATATAAGGACAAAATAAGTAATTCTCCTAACAGACAAACAAGCTCATCTGCTATTATCTTATTCATTTGCTCAAATTCAATACAAGAATCAATTTTGCCTGTAAGCTATGTAATTTGCCAGAGCAATCAATGGCGCCGCCTTCTCTTGATCGAAACATGCAAGCTGATCTTTGGCCTCATTGTTCAATTTCTCAGCAAATTTTCTAGATTCCTCAATACCAATCAATTTTGGGTATGTCACTTTATCAGCCACCAAATCTTTACCTGCCGTCTTCCCCAATTCTTGGGAAGACTTGGTCACATCAAGTATGTCATCTACAACCTGAAACATCAATCCAATACACCTAGCAAACTTTCTGAGTTTCTCAACTTCTTCATCTGACCCACCTCCCAAAATTGTTCCAAGAACCACTGAACCCTCCAGTAAAACTGCAGTCTTGTGAACGTGAATGAACTCAAGCTGCTCCAATCCAACATCATATATTCTTTCAGAACACATATCAACCACCTGGCCTGCAACTAACCCTTCAGACCCAATTGCTTTAGCTAATTCACCAACGGCACGGACAATTTTCTCCGGCGACACGCCCACTGTGGCCGTTGCTATGTGCTCGAATGCGAAGGCGAGGAGGGCGTCCCCGGCTAATACCGCCATGTCTTCGCCGAACACCTTGTGGTTAGTGGGCTTCCCACGGCGGATGTCGTCGTTGTCCATACAGGGGAGGTCGTCGTGCATCAGAGACATGGTGTGAATCATCTCCACCGCGCAGGCCGCCGGCATGGCGGTGGACTCTTGGCCGCCGACCATCTCGCAGGCGGCGATGCAGAGCACCGGTCGGACCCTCTTGCCGCCGGCGAGGAGAGAGTACCGCATTGATTCGTGGATCATTTGGGGGTCCCGGAGCGAAACGGCGGCGTCCAAGGCTTGGTTCACGGAATTGGCCTTCTCAATCATGTAGGCCTTAAAATTGAATGGTGATGGTGAAGATTCTAGACGGGTTTGTAGTTTTTTGTGGGTGTCATCGTCCTCCACAGTCTGTTGTTTGGTGAGAATTGCAGAGACCGAGAGAGAAGAGAACGACATGGATAGTGTTGTTGAGTTTGGGAAGAAGAGAGACGTGGGCTTGGTTCTCCAAGAAGTGGTTAACTTGGAGGGTGTAGATCTGGATCTGTTAGGCATATTATACATGTAATGAGATTTCATCCATGTTGTGTTCATGTTGGCAACACTCATTTCTGTTGAAGCTTATGGATAAATCAGTGTTGCAATTTATTTTGTGTTGGAGCTTTGTGTGTGTCTATATATATAGAAACTGAAGAGACTCGAAAGTGATGACTTTTCAAATTGCTGTAAATTCGACCAGTGAATTTAGAGAGAGGGAGAGTGTGTGTGCAGAGTCTTGAGTATGCTGAGCCTTATTCAGACTTTGGGAAAAAAAAAAAAAAAAATTACTCCCTTGTTCATATTAGTGATTTCTCTCTTTCATAATTAACATACCGTTTAAAAGGTTCAATTAAAATAGAGATGCTAGGATATGTTTTTATAATTATAGCATCTTCAACTTTGTGTGTGTACACATATTTTATGTAAATTTGATTTGCCATCATTTGTACAAAAATTTTGAATTATTTATATTTTTTATTATACTTTTTGTATAAAAATATATTCCCCAATAACAATTAATCAGCCTCATGTCTGAATTCAATTCAATTTTTACAAACCTACAGAAAAAAATATATATATATATATACTAATATGGTTGTGTAAAATACACAATAATTTTATACATTGATGCCGTGATCGCGTATGTTAACAGATTGCTGGAGATAAATAAAAAAAATAAAGAATTACACATTATACATTGCCGTGTATATTTTACACAAAATAGCGCTTTAGCCTCAAAATTTTTAAAAACCTTCCAACATAGATGGTACTACATAATATACACCTTCAAACTTCAAAAGACAACTTAGTAATTTCAAAAACAAACAAGCATGTTCACTTAAAAAATTATAAAATCAAATAGAGACAAAAGATAATAACAGCTTAAGACAGATGGAATAATAAATACACAATCCAGCAATGTAGAATTAGTAATTGATGTGTATAGAAAAATAAAAAAATAAAAAATTAATGAACAATATTTGCCTACTCAACGTTGATGTGATCCAATCACAAATAATTTATCACTTTTTTTAATTTTGTAATTACAAATTATTTATGCATTTATAATTGGACTACATCAACTTTCAATAGCAATAACCTAAGGAGTAGACAAATTTGTACAAAATTAATGTGTTTAGTGTCTACCCTATAATCAACAAATGCATATATATATATATATATACATATTTCATCAGCACTTAGGTTAGTGGGCTACAGTTAAGTTGTAACTTTCTTTACCTTTCGAAAGTGAAAGAGATTGGATTCAAATGGTTATAAACACAATAAAAATTAAAAGTTCAATCAGATCTCAAATTACAGTAAAAAATTAGAAAGTTTATTTACAAGTACTTGAAAATTATTGTTTCAAAGTTCACTACAACAAAATTACATTCGTCATCTTTTGATGACCATTGATTTCTTATTCAACTTTTTTTTCGCTGGGCTTATATACAACTGTAAATACTTTATTCGAGTGTTACTGTATTTTAAAAAATCTTCCTTTATATGAAGTTATGGCTTCCGTTTTACACTTTTATGAAATCTTAAAATGCACTACTTAAAAGATAGAAATTCAAGAAAAGTAATTACAATAATATGAATTTGCGACTAAATTACACAATTAAAATTTTTTAAAGATGTATTGCATGATTAATGGATTTACGGACGACAACGGTATATAAAAAACAATTTATTCGTTGTGACTAGATAAACATTGAATTTTCTTATAACTTTATTTACTTTCTTTGTTTAACAAATTAAATTAGCATACTCTTTAAGTTATCCTAAAGTATAAAATGAGTTTCTTAAACTTCATACTGTCCATTAATCGCCGCCACCTAACTCCGTCGCCCAACTTCAATTTAGCGACAAGTGGGCCCCACTTTTAACGCGTAATGAATCTGCAATCCACATCTTCCTATTTAGTTGTTCATTTCGTCGTGGCTCGTTTCCTCATTCATCAATCCGTGATTCGTGCACTACCATGATAAGTTAGACAAGTAAAATTATATTTGTGGACCTCAAGACAGATCTAATCTGTAGACATCAGAATCAGAAACGTAGAAGAGAGTGAAAAGGAAGGTAGAATAGGCTTCAATGCATGCGTTTTGATTTTAAACCCACTTTATTAGATACCAGATCAGTGTCCCTACTTTTCACTTGGTCACAAAACACACCATCCATGAAAACCCTAAAACGTACTCATATAAAGGAAATTTCATTTGACCTATGTATGTAGCTTACATGTAATTCAGGTGGGGATGCTCCTGCTAACACTCATGCAACATACCGGTAGACCCACCGCCTAAGGACTACGTTTTCAAAAACTTCCAAGGTTTTTTAGTGTGAATGTTGGAGTTGTTCACTTCTTACGTAGTATGAATGTATTGTGGAGATGTTGAAGGTGTTCCCTTCTTACTTACAACATGTCATACCAACCTCCATCGGTCAGAGTCTCAGAGAATCACAGATTCCACGTGGATCGTATTCAAAGCTGCAAAAATTTTGACTCCATGCTGTTGAATAATTGCGCATAGGTCTTATCACAAAACTCAAAAGTTATTACACTGCCTATAAATGAAGAGATGTTGATAACAAGCGATACAGTCAAACTATGCCCTGACTACATCTGTTTTAAACATCTTTAAGGTGGGAAAATCTGTTGAAAATCCACCCGCCATAAAAATATCCCTCAACTTTTGCCAAAAATAAGAACTTAAAAGACATAGAGATATTGCCATGTTAGCAGTGTTCGCTCCAAGTAAAATGGTTTTTACTTGTTGTACAAGTATACAATGCTGAAGATAAAGAAGCCACCCATCTGCAACAATTAAATATCACATTTAGTGCACTCATCTAAAATCAAGGATCCCACACGCAAACACACAGAAATTCAGAGAGAGAGAGAGAGAGAGTACCATAGAAAATGAAGCTCCATAATAAGGGAATGCCGTGGTTATAAATCTTTCGTACTCATTGTGTCTAAAGGGTCGGACAGGAATCTGCAATTCAACCATTACTTGACAGCTATTTAAGTATAGACATTACAAATACAGGATCCAGGAAAGAAAAAAGAAAAAAAAACAAAAAAAACCACAGCGATACAACAATTTTCTAGCAAGATTAGGATTTGAATACGACAAAAATTGTGCACATATATTCTGTTAATGCAGATATGTATGAAACTTTGAATATATTTGTATCTATGTATATAGTTATAATAATTGTTTGTCATGTTATATATATTATTAGTTTATTATTAACATTTCCTTATGAAAAACAAGCTAAGAGTTCTAATGTATGGGGCACAAATTTTGAACTAAATTAGACATGAAATATCGTTGTTATCCCAATTCTTCTTTTTCCAAGAAATTATTAGCATTTGAATCTTTGTCGTAATTATCCTAACAATAATACTATGATTTTATACATTAGACCAACCCCAGCGACATTGTATATAATTTCATATACCTATAAACCCAATTGTCTATATTTGGCAAATTCATACAACCGTATATCAAACCAGAACATAGTCCCAACTTCAACCAAACCTAGATCATGAATCTAAAAGGACTGAAGAACTACCACCTGGACAATTTGAATTCAAGGTGCCTAATTAACTGGCACTAAGAATTAGCCAGCCCTTACCTGTTTTGCAAGAGATAAGCTAGTGTATCCAAGCCTCTGATACTCAACCTTGAACTGGAATACACCATAAACATCTGGCACCTTGAATGAAGTATAATATAGACCCTGCATTCATGAATAAATATGAAAAGAAAGGTTGTAGAAGATAAGATTGCAAAACTACATGCAGATCTGGCCAAGGTATGACTACCTTCTGATCATTTGATAAGGTTTTCAACACATAGGGGCTCATCATGTAGAATTGCACTTGAACATCATTTGCCACATAGGGTTCCCAGTTTGTTCCAGACCACTCATAAATCTCAACAGAGTATTCCTGCAAAATAAGCCACAAGATACTTTCTCTTTACTATTTCATCCTTAAAGCTAATGAACTTTGACTTGATAAAATGGAGAAGGCATTACCAAGTCATCGTTGATCCTGTAAATTGCAGGTTCATCTGTTTCCCCAACTTTGTGGTGTTTAACATTGACAGCCTGAAAATCAAGAACACCACCATAAATGATGCAAAAACTGAATAAATCTAATAAAATCAAAGTCTGGAAAAGTAAGACCATATCTTCCTCTCTGGATTTCTTTTTTCTTTCTTCCCCTCTTATTTGCTAAAAGTTGATGTACTATAGTCAAATGCAGAGAACATTAATATGGGACAACCAGTAATATGCCTTACCATTAGATGACCCCTTTCATGGAAGACCCATTTGCTAAGTTCAGTCACGAATTGTTCATTCCCTGATTTCCCATATCTGTTTGCACAAGTAATATATTCCATGAGTTTCTTGCTTTAAGCAAAATACTGGTGAAGAGCATCTATTACCCCACCATGACTAACAAATACATAGAAGGAAATACAAGTTTCACAAATATTCATCTCATTGCTTCAAAATCAAAGGAATGATATACAATCATATCACTTTCGGTGCAAATGAGGGCCTAACATTGGTTTGCCGTTAATGGAAGATTAAAAAGACGCAAATACCATAAAAGAGTTGAAAAGACAAAAATTTCTAGTTTGCCTAAAAGACTCCACCTCTGCATGAAGCACTGAGTTACAGAGTGCCAAAATGGGTTTCCATGTTGCCGGAAAATTTTTTAAGGGTTCCAATTTTGGCGGACAATTCTCCTAGGGTTTCCGTATTGCCGGAAGAATTCTTAAAGGGTTTTGATGTTGCTGGAATGGCTTTCCGAGTAGGGAAGAATTCCACAAAAATTTCAAGAATTCCAGGTAGGAGCAATTCAAAGCCGTGTGGATGCCTTTTATATGGAGGAGTTACTTAGTGTGATTCAAGGAACATTGCAAGAAATGCTATAGATTCAAAAACTATATAGCAGTCTTAGATATTCCTTAGATACCCTTATAAATAAATAAATAAATAAATATATATATATATTGGGTTTCAATCAACTCACCAGCCGCAGCCCCACTCCCATGTCCCGCTGACTCCTACGCCTTTTATATGGAGGAGTTACTTAGTGTGATTCAAGGAGCATTGCAAGAAATGCTATGGAGATTCAAAAACTATATAGCAGTCTTAGATATTCCTTAGATACCCTTATATATATATATATTGGGTTTCAATCAACTCACCAGCCGCAGCCCAACTCCCATGTCCCACTGACTCCTTCCCCTCTCTGCCCCCTCAACTCTTTATTTGTCTTTTCAGATTTATGCTCTTATATTTAACTTTATTTTGCCTTCCTGGTTAAAGATTTACCAACATATAGTGCAATCTCGTCAAAATGTTGAAAATTGTTGTTGATCGATGATTCAACTTGAAAAGATTATTAGAACATGTGGCCAAGGACTTGAGAAAAAAGCTTTCCCACTCTTACTTCTTCAAAAAGTCAGATTCTTCTTCCAAGTCTTTACATTTTCAAATAGATGCTATGGCTATGCAAGCCATATCTGATGCTTCATGACCATCCATTTTTCAGAATTCAAAATATTACCTTTGTTAAAATTAAGTATATTATTCTTTCAAATTGAGCTTGGGCACTGTTTATGTCTTCTGGACTATATATTGTGAAGATTCTTGAAGGAAATTAAGGTTTGTAATGTATTGTATAAATTTATATAATTGCATATATTGTTTCAATCTTTAACGGAGCAGAAACGGGCTTGGGAAGGTTGTTTGTAAACAGAGATGGAATGGGAACGTTAAACCCGTCCCAGGTTCAGGGACGGGTATGGGATATACGTTTTGTTAAACGGGATGGGGTAGGATTGGGAAACCCGCCCCGTACTTGCCCTGTTGCCATCCCTAGCCACAAAAGGAAAACTATTTAGCATTAAACTGCATTAGGCTTTATGAATGCTTTGCACAACTCTTCAACCTTGTAATAACACGCTAATAGAACATGTCGTGTTCATGTTTAACCCACCAACCCGTTTATAACCCTATTCCACATGTTTAACTAAACGTGTTGTGTTCCTTTTAAAAATGACCCGTTTAATTAAAATTTTAATTAAACGTGTCTTGTCATGTCTAGTCATATCTTGACCCATCTATTAAACAGGTTGCACGGGCCTTGTCGTGTTATTTTTTAATAATCATGTTTTTGTGTCAAGAAATAATAATCGTGCAATGTTCATGTCGACCCATATAATAGGATAACATGACAACACGAATTGCCACCCCTGCCGATCGGCTACACAAAAATGCAATCTCTAGCCAGCTCTTTATAAAGCCAACGCATAAATGTCCACCTTTTCCAAGAGACATCATCTAAAACTGATAATAATGGTGATTCTGCATTTAATAATAAATTAAAAATTAAGATTTCATAATATAAGTCTCATATCTGTTAGGATAGTGTTGTACATGTCTTTAAAAATATTTCTTTATAGACATTGGTTGCAGTTGATAACTTTTTTTTTTTCTTTTCTTTTTGTTCAGTTTATGAATGTTTTCTGTATATATTGATGAATAAGTTTAGGCACTCTAACATGATATTTACTTTTCATGGTTTTGAGGGATAATATAATTTCTTGTGACAAAGCATATCCAGTATTTGCAGTGAACATCAATATATCACAAACCATTTAGACGCACGGTAATGATTATGACCTTGTGTTTTGTTTACAACTTTCCGTGGTAAAGAATTAATTTATCTGTGGTCATTAGGAATGATGGAAAGATATCACATTTCAGTGTAACTCTTCCACATTTTAGTGTATGCTTACCACTTCAATTCTAAATTTCAACAAGTATCAATATCCAAAAAGGATACTGCTTAATCGAATGGTAAAGCTTTGAATTACGACGCATGGACTTAGGTTTTTGGTTGATAGTAGCCACATTGTGCCTAAAAAGGGTAAAGATTAGGTCTTATATATCCGATCCACCCTTCTTTGGTTATGGTCATTTTCATGTAAAATTTAAATGAGGATAAGAATATCGGATGAATAGCCCACTTTAGATTTACACCCACCAAAAACCAAACAAAATATAAAAATAAGTTACTTGAAGTAGCCTTATGCTTTACCTTGTCCTTGTATACATAAGAACGCTTACGAAAGAAGAATAAATTTTTTTTTTTGATAGATATTCGTCTTACGAAAGACGAATAATGTGGTTGAATAGTAGTTTCAGCATGATGACACTTTCTTGGTAGTGATCTACTGCTGGCCCATCCCACTTGTCTTTGAACCACCAACAAAAGGTTCATACCCCATAAATAAGTAGGGCTGCAACTTGGGCGGGCTAACCCAACCCAACCCAGAAATTTTGAAATTGGGACTTTAAATTTACAAATCGGGTTCATGTTCAGGTTGGGTTTTGTCAAAACCCAAACATATTCAGGTTGGGCTGGGCTCAACCCGAGCCCAACCCAAAACCCAAATTTAAAAAAAAAAAAAAAAAATTAATTTTTTTTTCTCCTTTCTCTCTGCCGCCTTCCCTTCTGCTACTGTTGCCGTCGCCGCCACCGCCACCGCCGCCGTCCCCTCTGCTGTCGTCGCCGTCGCCGTCGCCGCCGCCCCCCCTCTTACAAACCTTGATTAATTGATTTAGAAAAAAAAATTAAAACAAAACCCATACATACAAGTTAGCAGTTGCAGAGAGAAAGGGAGGCAAGCTTGAGAGTTGAGAGATAGCGGCTGAAGCTTGCGAATGGGGAACCCAAACTGGAACAGCGGGCGATGGAAACTGAAAAATATGGGTTTTGATTTTTTGAACAATCTGAAATGATATGCCGATATGAGTTTTGAACTTTTGATTCTTACAGACAGACAGATAGATAAAACTGAAATATATAGGTATTGAACTTCTGATTCTTGTAGATTTTGTAGTTTGCAGTTGCACAGAGAGAGGGGGGGGGGGCAAGTTCAGAGAGAATAGAGATGGAGGCGACTGGGAGGCTGAAATGATTTGCCCTTGTTTTTTAATAATAATATAATCAAATATAATATATATATATATATATATATATAATATAAGTAGTATATAAATTCCGAGGAAAAAAAAATGGTAAGGGGGGAAAAAAAAAATCTCAACCCGTCAACTCGATCCGGCCCGCCCGAAAATATTCGGACTAGGTTTTGACCATAACCCGTGTTGGGTACAATTCGGACTGGCCCAACCCAACCCGATTCGGGTTGAGGTTGGGTTGGGACTAGGCTGGGTTGGGCCAGCCCAACTTGCAGCCCTAAGACAAGTATCAAGAGACTAGCCCCCATCTCTTCCATCCAACCACTCACCCCCAGTCATGTTGATAGGAGTTTTCATTAAGAATAACGTTTACATGCCTTTATAGTTTTCATTAAGAATAACGTTTACATGCCACACATGAGTCGTACAGAAAATCGCTATTTTTAATAGCAAGCTAGACAAATTAAAGAACAGAAAGAAGATCAAGTAGAGCTTTACTCACTTGTCTGAGCTCCTAGCCTTCTGCACACTAGATCTAAACAATCTACAATACAGAAAGAATGGAGTGTTATCAAAGAGAACACATGCTAGAAGAACTTCAGAGTAAGTGCAAAATACCACTTACCGGTTACTGAACATTTCTAAAGAGCCAGAGATCATAACCCGTGCATTATTTCTGGCCTGCAACATATAAAAGATGTTACAAAATAAAATTTACATTTGGCAAATCTTGATCAGAAAGTTAGCTTCCATCCACTTAAAAGCAGCAAAATAAAAGCCTGTACGATTGTGAAGCTGGGTATATCAGATATATGAAAGCCACGTATGAAGCAACTGGTGCAACAAAATGATTAATGCAAAAGAAACCATTAATAAAAGTTTGAGGTCAACAAGCACTCATAAGAAAAAACGTACAGATAGAAGATAATTAGATATGAAAGTTCGCCATAGAAATGCAAATCATGCATGAGTTCTCCCCCAACCCAATGAATATATTATCAGGAAAGTAAATGAACAATGCACTTTCACTCTACCTTCTATTTTTCTCAAAAGATGCACATTAGAATAAACAGTCACAGCACATACACAGTCATGCACCACAGCATAACATGAACTGTCATATTAGGAAGTCGAAGGGGGAGGTCACAGTGTAAACTGTGTAATTGATTAACAAGTGGTATCTGGGATAGATGCCACAAGAAGCATGCCTCCTTGACCAAACGAAAGCATAAATAAGTAATAACAAGATGCCCACTAACGATATTGCCCACCTAGACTTTGAACAGCAAACCTAGCCAGTGTATCCATACCCTAAGGGAAAACAGAAGATAATGGAATGCATGCGTCTCAATTGAGAGGATAAATGTTCCCATTCTACTAGAGCTCCCCACATGTTGCCTTGAGTATAGATACAACTAGTATTTATGACCGAATGGGTTCCTCTCTTGCAAATACTACAGAGAAGAGGGCTTGATCTTCTCTCCTTCCTCTTTCCTCTCTTTTCCATCCCTCTCCGTTAACCATACTCTCCTTAAACCTTTCATCAGGCATGCAAGAACTCAAACAGACACTAGACACCAGCCTTTTGTCCAATTAAGAAATGATTCATTAAGCCAGACAGCTGGAATATAATGTGCTCCAACAATGACTAATATGCAGCCACATCTCAAGTTTTCTGTGGACATTTGAAAACCATTGAAACCAATTAAGAACTTCACAAGATGATACCTAAAATCTTGGAACTAACCATCTTCTCATGTTAACCTCCAGAATCAAGAAATTGTTAAATTATTGTTTTAATGGTTTAATTGACAAGTCTTTCAATCTGGGCTGATCATATTAACCATATGGATCCCTTTAAGCACAGGCTGAATCTGCTCCATCGCTCCAAGATGACGGAGATTTTCCAGATTTGTATCATAGGCCCTGTTTGGCGTGGCTTTCTGGAGCTCCAAAATGGGCTTCTAACCCCAGGAAGTGATTCCACTAAAAAAGTGAGTGTTTGGCAAATATTTTTGAACAGGATTCTTTAAAACGCCCAGACCTTTGAAAGCCCGTTCAAGGAAAGCCACAAAAATAGGCTTTTGAAATCCCATTCTCGGGAAGCCAATGAGGCAGCTAAGTGATAAATATTGTGATGACAATTTTAACCCTAAAAATTATAGTATATTTCCAAATTAACCTTTCTTCTCCACTCCGTCTCTGCGATCTGCAAATAGGAATGACGACGTCCTAGAGGGTTATGCCATGTTCTTCTAGAGGGTTGATTGAGGCTTGGAGAGGCTTCTCGGTTGGGGCTCTCATCCGGGATGCTTGGAGGGCTACCCCTCTCTGTATATGGTGGTGCATTTGGCTCGAGAGAAATTGGAGATATTTCAATGGCAAGGAGAAATCCATTTCTATGCTTAAGTTCTCTATTATTTCCACTCTTTTTTGTTGGGTCTCAGAGAGAGAGTATCGTTCTATTGAGGAGATTGTTATTATTTTGGCCTCTTTGAAGGCTTGAGGCTTTTTGTGGCCTTTTGTTTCCATGGGTTTCGCTCCCCTTTTGAGTGCTTTTTATAAAATTCTTACTTGTCAAAAAAAAAAAAAGGAATGACGACGTCCTAGATGGAAAAGAGTCTTTCACCTGACCCTACTCTTTCTTCTGGTTGCAAGAGTTTCGCTGCAGAAGATAGTTACTCAGCCCACAATTGCAAAGGCATTTGGTTACAAAAGGAATCTCAAAGTGCGATCTCTGTGAGGGATGACGAAGTATTTCAAACCTGTTATTCTTTCTCGCCGGAGTTCCGCTAACAGATGGTTACTCAGCCCTCTAGTGGTTGGATTTCTACCGGAGAAAATTAGGAGTTTAGAATTATAAGACCGATCATAATTATTTATGAAATTGGCGAAGAAGTACACAAAGAATTCGTACTATCCACCAATTTCATATACTAATATGGAATGTAAGCTAAATTTCACGGTGATTAAAAGTGTAGAAAAAATGAAATTGAGTGTTGCTACACTCATGTTCATCGTATTATTCATCTGATTCTCCTTCCCCAATTTGCCACTGCCCTAGATCTGTAAGTTCATCTCTATCTCTCTAAAATTTCTCTGGACTAATAAAGATGGTATATTTTGTAGTTTAAGAATTTTTTTTTTTCTTGAATTGTCATTTAAAAATTCCTTTGGAAAGTTTAAGAATTCTTATGGAAATTTTAGGACTGACATTCCTATTCAACAAGTTTCCTGTTCTCTTAATACCACAGCTCTATATATGCATGCTTCTCTCTTTCAACCTTTCATATCTCTCTCAAAATTTTCAATTTCTGAAAATTCTTTACACCGTTCATAACTTGCAAAACTTGGTTATACTTGATTTTTTGTGCATCATAGCACAATTCATTTGTTTTATCGAATTGATATACTTTGAATCTTTTATTTTCCTTTTAGATAATTTTATTTTTCTCCTATATTTAATACATTAATTTTTCAATCAATTTAATGTTGTGAATGTGTATTATAACATATTAATCCTCTTTCTTGCTACTTATCATCATTTGATTTTTATCAATGTATATATATTGATTTATCTGGAGTTCAATTATATTGCACTCTCTGTTTGTTTCTGGTTTCGAATTTGAATAATTTGGTGGTATGACCGTACATGTCCCTGTGTATATAATTTAGTGCAATTTAATTGATTTGTCAAACTTGGTAGTGTAAAAAACTTATGAATAACAAGTTAGTTGAGTATGAGGCTCTATTGTTGGATAGGTTTCTCTATATTCTTAAATCCTTATGTAGGAGGATATCAGAGAAACGGTAATGGATTTCAATAGTATAGTTGAAGAAATAATGATGAGGAACTCCCCAGCCCCTTCTCGGCCTCCCTTTTCCTTCTTCCCTTTCTTCCTTCTTTCCCTCTCTAAACTTATGTTTATTTCTCTGTTTTTCTTGTTCTCTTTCTTCTATCTACGGAGTATTTATTATCATAGGCATGGGACTTCCTTTAGTTGGTAAAAAGGAATTTTCTCTAGAAGCTTTGCTACACCTCATACTAGTAATGCATTAACATTATTTGGATAGTTGTTTGCTATATAGCGTGTGTATGCATGCTGGCATGCATGTGTAGTTTGTGCATGCACATATACAAATGTGTTGCCATTGCAACATTCTAATGGGCACATAATATACTAACAGCCCATGGATAATAGTTTCAACTAAGAGGAATAAAGAACTATTTAATTATGCTCATTCATCACTTAGAAATGTAATTGTTGTTTTGGAATTTGGAAGGTTCGATGGGCAATTTTAAAATGTATGGCTTCTTTTCCATTCCCAACACAAAGATTGATTGTAACTGCATCAATGGCACTACACAATTAGATCCGATAAAAAGTAATAGCTAATGCCAAATTTCAACGATATGATGATGAAGGAGGTTATGTCAGTGACAATGATGATATGTACATGCGTGCCACTCCATCGAAATCTAGTGCAACAGAGGACCAACAACAAGAAATGAGCATTAGGATTGCTAATTCAATATAGCAATCTACTAGATAAATCGTGCCTTAGTCTGTTTATGTCTTTGGATTGTTTTTAAAGTTTTCATTTATTTATTTAGGACAATTATTGTTTATTTGAAATTAGTATTTAAAATCTTGGGCATGTTTACTTTATATTTCATTTGTAATTTATTATCAAAATAATAATTAACATTTTTAGTGGTAGAAGTATTCTACCTAATTGTTCATTAAAGTGTTACAATTTTTTTTTTGGATAAAAAAACGGTTGTTAATATGATTCAGTATTGTGTCAAACCTAATAATGTAGGTACATATTATAAGGGTATTTATGTAAATTTGTAGTTATTTAATAGCCGAAGGAATTTATAACCAAACACATTATTATGAGAGTGAAATGACTTTTGGGGATTAAAGGACTTTTTAAAAGTAAGGCAGCCAAACGCCTTTTTTATTTCCAAATTCCTTCCTACAAAGCGATTCTTGTAAGCCCGTTATAATGAAAGGACTTTTCACCACAGAAAGCTCCCCAAAACAGGGCCATAATCTATTGTGCTTCATCAGCCTGATATCTTAACTATAAGTCGAAGTCCATAAACCACATTCAACAACAAGAGCACCACATCATAATGTTATACATACATATATATATATACATACATACATATATATATATATATATATATATATATATATCCAACTCTATCTCAAATTCAGTGTATCAGAGACAACAGGTCAGTGGTTGCCACTAATTCATCAAAACTAATTTTTCCATTTCACAAACAGAAATGATGTAAGCTCAGGTAGTGCATAAAGAGTCACAACCAAGACACCAACAAATGAGTATAACCATCCTATACTCACAAGAGAAACAAATGAATATAATAGAAGGATTAATATTTTGTAAGATTTCACACTTATGCCCAAGTATATATTGTTGTCAACTCAATTCAACTCAACAAAGCCTTTCCAGACTACTTGGGAATGGTTACATGAATCATATTTTTCCTTTCTGCTTCATCTAAGGTCATAGCCTCAATGAAGCCAAACGTTGCCAGATATTTTCTTACTAGCTCTACCCATATTAATTTTGTTCTTCCCTTCTCAAGCATTATTCTCGATATGGACCAAGTCACTCTTCCGAAGTCCTAACTAATGCACTTAGTAGTCATTTTTGCAGTTGCTCAAATCATCTTAATTGGATTTCTCTAATTTTATTTATAATGTGTGCTACACAACCATCTCATGAATGCATTAATTTGTCTACTTCTATCCGTTCTTGTCTTACTGCACATCCATCTCAACAGTCGCATTTTCGCCACACTCAATTTATAGGTATATATTTGATGTCAAACCATCAAAAATAAATTTGAGAAAAAGGATATAGTGTACAGAATCCCTCGTGATTAGAACTTCCAGATTTTTTTGACAAATAAATTTCTAAAATAAATCAAACAAGTTTAAGGATGAAAGTTTATAGCATCATGGTAACCATTTAAACAAGCTTAGCTGAAAGAGAAGACAACAAGAACTGAAAGTTTATAGCATCATGGTAACCATTTAAACAAGCTTAGCTGACAGAGAAGACAACAAGAACTGACCTGCACAACTGAAACTAAAGAGATAGTAGAACCAGTAAGTGATGGAGGATTTGACAACTTGGAGTTTGGATTAGCAGAATATGCCGAAGGAGAAGCTGAGAGAACTTTCAAAACCTGTAGAATAAATAACACATCATTATAAGGAAAAGCCATCAAACACTTTAAGTAGCTTTATGTGCATATGCTTTTGAATTCAGCAGGCTACTGTAAGAAAAAGACAAAACACTGATGTCATTGACCTTACCAAGCTATTGGCAGGATTTAATGAATGTCCAATTCCTTTGAAAAGTACCGGGGCCTGTTCCATGCAATATAGAAACAAATAAGAAATGCAAACATTGACTTTGTTGATACTGCTTTCAGATGTTAATCGCTTAAGGCATTAATAGCTATAAGGTAAAACATGAAGCAAATATCGATTTCCAAAACAAAAATGATATATTTGTACAACTGCAGCAACTAGCTATATCATGTCCCAATTTTAAATAAAGCATTCAAGCAGCTAGGGAACAGTAGTCCAATTGAGAGAGAGAGAGAGAGAGGTGGAAGTTTGAATGCACACACAATAATACAGAAAACATGGTAATAACAACTATATGATTGACTATAAAGCTGACCTCGATTTTTGTGCTTCCCAAAATCACATCAGATTGAATAAAATAATCGGAGGCAATCAATGTATGATCTCCCTCTGTATCTGAGACAGCATAGCCAGTGTGATCAATAACCACAGCTGAGGGGTCCTACAGCATGAAATAAACAACATGAGAATTTAAATTTAGGGAAAAGAAAACAAATGGGGATTATAGTTCCAACTGTGAAAGTTAAGAATTGTATTTCTTCAGGTGACGTGAATCAAGAACTCTAGCTAAATGCATCCATAGCAGAGAAGCTGACAAAAGAGAATGACAAATGGCTGCAGCCTAAACCTGAACCTGGCCAAGGTGCTCCACTTATCTCTCAGAAGGACAATTCTACGTCCTTTAGGTTTATAATAAAAGATAACCATTGCAGCCAAAAAGAATATTACCAAAGGAAATTTTTTGAAGCAACTAGAAATACAAGGGTACTTGAGAGATGACGTTGTTACAAAGGAAATTTAAGGCAAAAAATGTTTGACCCACTAGTTTTAATCATCAAGAGAAGCAGAAAGTAAGACTGCTGCAAGCTTGGAAGATTTTTTAAAACTGGAATACGGTTTGAGAAATACAATATGGTTTGAGATTATAATGACAGTACAACGAAGCAATGAAAATTGCACTCCCAAAAAGAATATTACCAAAGAAAAGTTGTTGAAGCTTGCGGTAAACAGTGGTTAAATCTCCAACAGAAGGATCAGGGTATAACTAAAATTAGGCCATATCATGTTTCCAAATGAGGTCAATTCTTCTTGTAAATTTGCTGGGCAGAGAGGTAGAACAGCCGACAGCGACTAAAACACCTATACTTGTCTGTCAAATTTGCTAACCGTCAACCTCTAAAACTGATTGTGAGGTTCAGTCTACTTTTCCAGGCGAATGCTCAATTACTAGAATTCAATCCAATATTTGCCATTCACAATTCAAGCGGCATTTAATATAGACATGCATCAACTTGAATGGAATTCTTTACAGAAATATGCAACTTCACCATGTTTCTTCCAGTTCCAACTGATCATTTCTATATTTCCTTGAAATAACAAGTTTCACTATTCTGAACACCGTTTATGAAATTGCTACCATTTTTCTTAACAAAACGATTAACATAATAACATTAGAATACAAGGGAACAGTCAAATAGACCCTAACAAAATATAAATTGATACCGGAAACATATGCAATTGAAAAGAGAGAGAGAGCTTCACTCACTTCATCAAAATCAACTCCGCACTCGGCAGCAATGTTCCGGATCAAATCAGACGCATTTGGATCCGCCGATATAATCAAATCATGGCCCGCATCAACAAAATCCAACACGGCCGCCAAATCCAAAGACCCACCAAACCCTAGAGAAATGTTTTTTTTTTAAATCACTGTATCAACAGTCAATAAAATCAAAATCACAGACGACTGATGAATCACATTTAACTTACGCTCGATGGTGGGGGAAAACAGAATCAATCCATCGTACAAGTACTTTCCGTATCTCTGTAGAGTGATCTTGGGATCGTCAGCGAGCTTGAAATCGAGTTCGAACCCGCGATCTTGCAAGGACTTGAAGAAGATCGAGTGCGAAGACTTTAGGGCCAAGTCGTCGAGCAAGACTAAGAGTCGCTGACCGCTGGCACTTTCTGAAGAGAATGCGAAGGAAAGAATTGGGAGGAGAGAGATGAAGGCGATGAGGATGATATAGGGTTTCGCCATTGTGATTAGGGCTTTTGGGTCGGAGAGTTGCAGAGTAGTTGGAGTTGCACCCGAGACTGAGTTGTGTTAAACGTTGAAGAGTGATTTATACGACTGACTTGTAGTTGTAGTTGCAGCACACTTTCGCTTCTTCATTTTTGTTTTTGGGCTTCCATTTTATTTACTTTCCTAAATACAGGGCGTTTCTAAAAAACATTTCCAACACATATTTTCAAATAACAATTTCACAAAACACATTTTGATGTCTCATTACAATTATTATTTATTTGCTTTCCTTTGAATTCATTACATTACTTAATTTTTTATTTTTTTTTTTTTTTTTTTTTTTTTTTTTTGGATAATTCAGGGCAAAACCCGAGGACTTAGGAAGGCGTCTCTCCCCCACTGAACTCGAACGCGCACATAGTGCTAAGAAGGCACCAAAGCCTAGGTGATTTTACTATTGAGCCAACCCTTTGGGTTGAAAAAAAATAAATGATAATTTTATGCAACTATAGAGTATACATAATCAACTAAATTAGGTAAGAAAAAATAATAATAATATAATATGAAAATACATGAATGAATCAGCTTTTTAGGGTTGTAAATTTCCAATATATCATTACTCTCTTTCACAGAAGAAAACAAAGAGAGAATTTTCAAAAGCCTCTCACCCTTTTTGATTCATTTTCTTTTATTTTTTCAATTTCCTTTCCACGCATTTCCTTCTCACCAAACGAACGAGAACACTTCATATTCAATTCTCTTTCCTTCTTTTCTGATTTGCCATATTATTTCCCTTCTTCCTCCGTCTCCCTTCCCTCACCTCCATCTCATTTAACGTTTGGCACAAGGTAAAAGAAAGTTGAAAAAACAGGAACCTTTGAATGATTTATGGTACTCTGGGACATGTTAAAAGTGTGTCGAAGATCACCTAATTGTGCCATTACAATTCGCAATAGCAGAACAGAAACATCGAGTGAATAGTAGCATTCTAAGAGATCTGTTGTCCCCTGCTTGTGCCTTGTTGTGCAAAATAAGGTTCATCATTTCTTTCAACTCCAAGTTCCCGATCAAAGAATGAGTCGCTAAATTAGTGTCCAAGCAAAACTGGTTTCAATAGTACAAAACTTCATCAAAGTGGAAAGAGGATCAGCATACAAAAAAAAAGGTGGCCTGAATACTGATCAGTATACAATGCAACTGAAGCTTTGTTAGGGTACCCTGATTTCGAGGAACTCTAAATCCTAACACTTCAAATCATGAGCTTGTCACATCATCTCTTGCTCTTTACTACTGGCCGTTCTAGCATTCTCGCGGTCCCGTCTGAAAACCCAATACAGAGGTGTGTAAAACAAACAACACAAACCGAATGGCACTGCCATCATTGAAAAGAGCCCTTTTGACAATGCCAAAGCCTCTGGTGCAGACCCTAAAACTGGATCAACAGACTTTTTATTGTAACCATATATCTTCTCTGTAACAATTCCAACAATTGGAGCAGCAACAGAGGAGAAGGAACCTTCAAAGGCACGATCAAATGCATAAATCATGGTCCGGTGTTTAACAGGGACCACCTCGGCAAACATGGGGCCATTTACAGCAGTGGCATTCCAGCTGATGGTAAGGCCCATGAGCATGAGGGTGGTAGCAAAGATAGAATAGCTGCTCACTGATTGCGGGATTACTCTAAGAAGGAACAATGAGAATGGAATGCCCATGGAGGCACTGAACTGTGCACACATGATACGACCTGAGTGAGGATAGATCAGTGACATTCGATCTGCTATTACTCCACCAAAGAAGGATCCCAGTGCGCATCCAGCAGCGAAAAGGCTAAGGAGAGCTGCTGTACTATAATGATCAAAACCTGCAGAAAGAACCAACATAAATCAAGCCCCAATGCTGAGTAAATATGGTTTTACTCAAGTCCAGCTAACGTTATCATCAATGCAATCATAAGTAAATTATTTTCTTTAACATTTATCATCTCCAAAGAATTATTGTAAAAATTGTAGAAATTGACAAGTAAATTGTAGAAATCCTCTCCAGTTCAATATATTATTCATCTCTCTCAAAAACAATATATGGAATCTGCATACATACTCACCAATCAGTTCAAACCACATTGTGAAGAATACCATGGCTGTCCATGGTAGTGAACCAACAACACCCTGTAAGACAATGACTTGAAATGTTTGCACTCTCATGACAGATTTCATGGCTGTCCAGGACTCCAACCAAAGTGATGATGCTGAACTGGAATTGCCCTTATGAATCAAATCATTCCTGCAACAGGAAGCAGCTGAGTGACCAAGCACTGATAGAAAATGATGAAAAGTCCATTTAGAATAACGTTCTTAGTTCATAACCACCAAGGTTATTAAACAGATATAATTATAGATAGCAATCAGACATTTTAACAACCTATGAATCTAAAGAAACCTGAGATAGCAGCTGTACCTATCAGTGTTCCCGCCAGTATCACGATCAATGCTACTTGTTCTTCTTGGGTCAACAACAAACATGAAAACAAGGAAACCAATAAGAGCACTCAAAGCTGCCATCATAACAAAAGCACAACGCCATCCAGGTATGCCCCAGAACTCATGACCTGCCATAATTGTGGCGAGAACACCACCTCCTATGCCACCCAAAGTACCAACAAGATTTAGAAACCCAAATCCAGCCCCCCTCACATCATCCAAGTAGCTATCAGCTATGAAAGACTGTAGCGCTGGTATCACAATTGCCAGTCCAAAGCCATTTACTGCTCTCCAGAATGCAACTTGCATAAACTGCTGGCTCGCACCCACTGCAGCTGTTGATAAGGCCCAGCACATGGTGCCCATTGCAAGAACTGTAGGGCGATCATGGTTAATCACTAATATACCTGCCAAGGGTGATGACAGTCCCTGCACAAAGTTTCGTATGAAAGTGAGATACCCAAGATCAGATGGACCAGCATTAAAAGCTTCACTGACTTCTTTGTATACAGATGGGAGGAGATTTTCATCAGCACGTTCCATTATCGCAGCCAGGTTGATGATAATTATAGAGAGAGAAATCCCAAAAAATTTCCTTGTTCTGTAATAGGTGAATATATTGCACTATCAGCAACAAAATAAATGTACAGAATTATATTATTTGAACAAAGCAACAGAATGGACAGAAGCAAGGCACAAAATGCATTTCTTTATTGCATGAGAAAAAATTCTATAGAAGCATAAGAAGATAAAACTAACATTATGTATAAACATGAAAAATCACATATAAGATCTCTATAAAATAATTAATATACTCAGCTCAACTCGACAAAGCCTTGTCCCAACTATTTGGAATCAATTATCTGAACTATGTTGGGTCATTACTCGCTTTGTAATGTCATAGTATCAATTCAACCACACGCATTAAGAATTTTCTTAACTTTTCAAGCCCATACTAATTTTGGCCTTCCCTTCAATGTGGATCACATGACTTTCTTACTAGTTCAGTTATTTCTCTTTACTGCTCATGTCATCATAATATGTTTTCTCTCATTGCACCTCAAATGTGCTTCCATTGTGTCACGAATCTATTTATTTCTAATTTTATCCTTTATTGTCTTACCACATATTCATCTCAACATCCACATTTTGGCCACACTGAGTTCCAAAAAAAAATAGCAGAGTGCAATTTAATTATTGTAAATCAACCAATTCAACATTAAAATATTTAATTGATGCTTTGACATGCATGTCTAATAATAGCATATACCAATATGGAAAATCATATAGCAATATCGTAAAAAGCTCGAGAAATGCCAGACCCAAAAAGTACCCTTGACAGAGTGGTGATTGGTAATCTGTGCAGATGGCCAAACAAACACAGTTGAACGTCTCCATATGTTATGTCGTTCATCTTTTCAGCTACACTGATTGAATAAATGTTCTTGATTACCTAGTATTTTGTACCATAAAGCACAATAGCCTTGTACTATATGAATTCACATGGATTGTTTGGATCATATGAAAGTCGATACTGAACTCATTTACACTGTTCTGCGCCATTGTGTAGAAAGTTTTTCTCCCTCCACATCTGGCCATTGTTCATTTTCTGGTGTTATGATCCATGTTCTATTTGGAAATTGAAATGTGTCATAATCTTTCTGGGTTCTGGAAGCTACCATACAATGGCCAGTGTACCATTTGGATCCTTGTGTTGATTTGAGTAGTCCTCACACCTTGTCCTCCCAGTGATAATTGATCTTTTTTTTTTTTCCTAGGGAATTGTTTGCCCCAAGTCGGAAGCAGACCATAGTCAAAAAATATATTCTCATATTGAAATCTTTATAGAAAATTCTGAAGGAGTCCTCCACTTGTGTGTTGTTGAGGATTATATTCATTAAAGTACAACATAATTCTTATTTTGTTGTGTCTGAAAATCTTAAAATTTCACTACAGAATGTTTGTTTTCGTTTGGTAAGTGAACAGAAAGTTACAAGAAAACAACGTTAAGAATGAATGTGAGAAATACAAATATGGTAACATGGTGTGAATAAAAGTGCAAAGAAGAACTATGGTCAATTAACATATAAGAGCAACAATTTTATCCTATCTTTGTTCAATCAACCACGGGAAGAGGAAGGCTGAAGAGGGACTTAACATAAAAAAAACTAGAGTTGGAATGATATACTGTAAAGGTGCTTTAATGTGTTACAAGATCAACACCAATCAAATTTGGACCCATTTAATTCATAATAAGATAATAAGGATAGTACAATATGGTGGATAGTAATAAAAATATAAAAGACCATTTTAAAGAAGCAGATTTTTTCATGGATGTGTAGCAAGCTACAGAAGACTAATCCTTGATAAGTTAAAAGGTAGAACAACTGAGTACAAGAAAATGTGTGGTTGTAAATGTGCAAGAAAGGATGAAGATTAATTGAATCAAAAAGAAGAATGACATGGTTAAAGTTAAAGGTACTATGAGGACGAGGGAAACATGAAAATGGAGAAAAAGAAACTGAAAGATTAATTGAAGTAGTATGGTAAGGTTTTGTTTAAGTTAATTCTACAAAAATAGTATGTGGGGTTGAGACAACATTCAAAGTTAACTTGGCTTACAAATCTCAATCAAGAGATCAGACAACAAATTTGAAATTAGAAATAAATTGTTTTCTCTAATATCAGTCACTCACTTGGGAGGATTTCCTAGGCAAAAGTTGTGATATGTATAGCTTTCTAACCTATGAATTTTAAAGTATTCCCTGTTCTGATGGTCTATTTGAAATCGCAATTCCAGAATTTCTCCTAGCCAATTATTATTACATCATCTTTTCATCTTTAGCTTCTTTTCAAGATGCAATCTTCCATTTGATCAAAACTTTCCAACTTCATCTGTCTACACACTAAAATGCAATTCTGATTCAATACGCACCCTGATTACCACAAGCAATCGACTCCTAGACTTAGCTACATGGAGACTTTTAAAGCTAAGAATGTAGTACCTGGCCCGTGAAGATGTCAATAACTACTGGTGATTCTCAAATCAAACTATATTGAAGCAACAATTGAGGAGGAGGATCTAAGGGCTTGACGGAGAAACCCACTAAAACATCAAGACTATTAAATAAAAAGCAGAGACCATTCCTAAAAGTTCTAAAAGGGCAACCCTTTGTCTCCGCTACAAACATCACCTTCAAATACAATGAAGTGAAATGTAATTCTTTTTACTCTTTTTTTTTTTTTTTTCTTCCCTAGTTGAAGTGAAATGTAATTCGATGCAATTTCATACATAAAAGGAACTTGAAAGCAGCATAACCATAAAAAAGAATCCTAACATAGTATTCTGATTCATTGTTGTAAAAATGGAAAGAGTATTAAGGCTAATTATTTTAGTGCATGCCATGTTTTACTTTCAACAGAGTCGGTATTTGAGTAGTGAAATCTAATTTATTCATGAATTACAATGAAAATTCCACCACCAAACATCATAAAAAGCAATGATTCCACCTTTTCAAGAAGTATTCTGATTCCACCATCAAACATCATAACTAAAACAAAATTTTGAATTTCAAGATTCATGGTAAGCCACATAGCTGTATTATGCTCAACTGGGTGGGGTTGACATCATTTACCCTCATGGATCTTAAAATGATTGGGGAGGGGGGATTCCAAATTCTTGATTTGAATTTGTTTCTTACATTTTCTCAGCAACCAAGAGGTGTATAATGAAAAAGAAAACTACCAAACCAATCATAATAAATCTCCAACTCTTTAGCAATAAATACAATCAAACAGAACAATATTAAAAAACCCAAGAAACAGTTATAGATATTATTGGTAACGAATAACTGTAAATGAAGAAAGCGAAAAAAACAAAACATGTGAAAAATGGAATGGGAACTAACTTCATGGTGGTGTCCAGATGTCTGGGAAGCAAAGGTTTGGATCGAGGGACAAGACGGTGGAATTTGGAAGTCCTAAGGCCCATGGATCAACCGGAACCCACCTATCCTCCAATAATGTTGGGACAGCTCTTTATTGATCTCTAATGTCGATCTAGGGCAGCCAACTATCATCGTAATGTTCACGTCTCTGAGTCTGACGAACCCAATAGGACACATCAGGCATTCCACTATTTTATAATAATATATGTATATATATATAGAGACAGAGACAGAGACAACAGAGGACTCTGATTTTTTTTTTTATCTAGAAGTCAAAGTTTCTCTCTCTGAGTGTAGAATTTATGTATTGGGTAGTTTGGAATAATGGAAAAAGCTTTGATATCCATCATCCATGGATATTATCTGGTGGGGTTAGATGAGTTTGGTTCATCAACATGGTGGTCACTAATGTAAAACTACTCCGTCAGGTCAAAGTCTAAGAGATGCTGCTGTCATCTTGGATTCCTTTCTAGTTTCTATCTTAACTTGGGGGGTGGGGGGGGAGAGAGGGATGGAGAGAAAATCATGCAACAGTGGATTGTTATATTCAATTAATTTTTTAGACAATAATTTATTGGTATGTGCTCAGATCTCGCATTCCTAAAGAGATGGAATCAAATATTTAGCATACGCGTTTGGTTAAATAATGTCTTGAGCCTAGTTCCTTTAAGCATGTGATCAAACAATATTATAATGTGATTCAGAAATTTGTCGTCATTAGTTTATTTGTATTTGTTATGATTTTGTTTCACAATCATTTTTTTTTAAATTCATTAATGAGGTTTGTTTTTAATTTTGTTTTAAGCAAATTTAAGATTGGATAAGTAGAATTAAACGAAAATTTGAAGTTAGATAAACAAAATCCAATCTAAATTTGAACTGAAAATTTAAAGTTCAGTTTGCACTCGAGGTGCACTCAAAATTCCTACGGACGTGAGATATTCCAACAAACTTGAATGATGATCCAAAGCAATTCTCTTTTTTTTTTTTAAATTTTGATGGAAAGTGAAAGTGAAATAAAATAAAATTAAGTTTTCATCATGTATTTGGTTAGTAGAAATTTTTTTGAAGAAAATTGTGAGAAAATCTTATTTTGGTAATTTGGATAGCATGAAAGGAAAAGAAAAGAATATGACTCCACTTATTGAAAATACCCTTATAATTTTAAATAGTATAAAATAAATAAATTTGTGTTAGAGGAATAGTATTTATACTTAATTATTTATTTTAGCAAGAAATAGTAAAATTGTATTATGATATCACATACTTTACGATTTCATATTTTGTGTGTGTGTGTGTGTATATATTTACTTGAATTCGGGATCTTTTATTTTTGAATCACCTTATACCTCATTGTTTATATCTATTTTTAACAAATAAAAATAATAATAATAATAATAATATATTATTAAAAATAATAATATAATATAATTATTTCTATTAATATCTAAATTGTATCTTGCGAACACAACAATTATAAAATTCAAATCTAGTAAGTTTCCGATCAAACTAAGAATCCAAATGGCCTACAACACCAACATTAATCATAATTATCCAATAAAACTAAAAAACATGTATGTATACCACTCAATCTCAATCATTATTAATTATGAAACCCAAAATAATTGAAATAAAAAATTAATTTTATATGCATATATAGAAATATAAAAAATTAAATAAGGATTACATCAATTTACAAAATAAAATCTACCTCCGTGTGAAGTTTGCGGAGAAATCGAAGAGTGGAGAGAAATAAGGAAAAAGTGGAAAAGAGTGAGGGGGAGAAACAACTGACAGGGGTACAAGAGGAAACAAAGATTCAAAGTGGCTAAATTTTGCGAGAAAGTAAATTTTTACGAGAAAATTTTTAGAAAAAATTAAAATGTGAGAATCTTATTTTCCCCAAAGTTTCACATTCCATCTAACCAAGCACATACAAATTTTTTTTTTTTTTTTTCTTTTCTTTTCTAACTAGTTTTTGCTAACCAAACAAACCTTAGTGAATTTTTCGGAATAATCCAATTATTGTACATATATATATATATTTTAAAATATCTCAAGTTGCATGAATGTAAGACAAGAATCAACATGTCACTTGTGCTTTGAATACTCAATGTATGGGGAATCACGTTTTCAGTTATTTATTATTGCTAATATCAAAAATGGTAAAAATCAATTAATGTCTGGCGCAAGTAAGAAAATTGTGTAATCGAGGAAAAATTAGTAGATGATAAATTAAATCAATTCAAACTCTATGGATATTCGGTGGATTAAGTCAATTCAAAGTCTAGAATAAAAAAAAAAAATGACTCCACAAAAATATAGTAATATATTATAAATAAATTGTAACAACGTTTTGTATTGAATCAGTACATCACGTTTCAAATGGTTTAAAAAAAATTAAAAATTTCTCGTAATTAAAAGACATCTTCTTACTGTTCCTAGGCTTACTAAAATTATTGGCTCCATTAAATGATACAGCTACAATAGTTGCAAAGTGCGAAGGAATGATCAATTTATTTTATTGATTATATTATGTTTAGGTGTATTATGAATTAGTGCTTTGAATTTAAAATTAAAGAAAATTTGGTTCAAATTTTATATTAAATTCTTCCAATTCCAAACTTAGGGCACGAATTTAATGAAGCAAACATAACATATTATATATATATATTAATTAATAAGGAGGGAGTAATGAATGGGATAAGTTGAACTTGAACTCCCAAGAGGAATAATTCTATCAACCTGGATTACCTAGCCCAGCTCCGTAGTATATTTCATTTTGGGTACCCGTGTTGTCTGTCGAATGAAAATGCATTTTCAAGAAAACAAATCACGTTTCATTTGAATCTGCCCGGCTTTGTATAAAGGCACTTGTCCCATAAAAGCAAATTATGGGCTGATCTTTTTTGAGTCCCCCAATAAGTTTGGGCCCAATGTAGTTGTACTTGTTTAATGGGCTTATAATTCTTACCTTATTTTCCTTGTTCTAAAAGTGATGAAGTTGGGCCTGTTTTGATTTTTTATTTTGCCGAACTAGCTTAATTTAAGGACATAACTGGTTTTGGGGGGATCACTTAGCTGTTGATAATTACTCTCATCAAAAAAACAAATTCGTTATCAGAATAAAATAAAATAAAATAACTCCATAGACATAGACATTAATGTGATGTAACCCAAAGCAATTAACCCATACTCACTTCACCAATTATAATCCATACTCACTTCACCAATTATAAATAAACTGGCCTAGTTCAATTAACCCATACTCACTTCACCAATTATAATCCAATTAAGTTCAGACTCAACAACCGCCGGAGTGACTCTCACATCACCCTTGATAAAAGGGTGGGTATGACTGTGACCCACACAAATGTCCACATCACCTCACGCTCAGATCGTTTGGTATGCATTATTATACTTATATAAAAGCCCAACCATGTCCAAGTTGTGTGGTCCCAAGCCTTGGTCGGTCGTCCGATGTTGGGCAAATAGGAAGACACTAGTTTATTTCTTGGCGTTACTCGTTCCCTATATGCTCGTGATTCATGAACCATCACCGCTTGGGACTCACTTCAGATGTTGATCTTCAACCAATTTAATACCAAAAAATCAAAATGATTTGAAGTGTAAATTCTACACTCACGTTTCTTAATCGATTATAAATTATTGATAAGTATTACATATTTTATTAAAATATTTACAAAGTCTTGAATGATCATGTCCCCTAATCAATCAAGGTAAGGCAACATCATCTACGAAGTGAATTTTGACCTAAAACAAAATACTTGTGTGAAACAATATAAAAGACAAATAGGAAGTGGAATAGACTTTTAAGTTTAAACTAATTAATCTAGATTATTTATTTTCGACTATGAAAGTAGTTGATATTTAACTTAATTCAAATACAAATAGAAAACATAATTAAGACATGTGTATGGGACACAAATTGAGATTGACCCACTTCAAAAAGTCATCTTTCTCATACTCAACCATAAACTTGTAAAGTCAGAAAGCTCATCTCAAAAATATTGTCCAAGTCTTGTAAAGCTTACCGAGACCCATAAAGAAAACAAGCCCAATTGACCCTCCACTGTTAAATAATTTTTGCACTTATTAGAATAATTATTAATAAATAAATATTTAAAACCCCTTAATATTATGGAGGCTAAAAGACTAAAATTATTGCATTCATCAAAATGAATTTTTTTTTTTTTTTTTTTTCAAATTATGTGATAATATAATTTGTGTATTATTTGTTCAAATAATTATTTATGTAACTTAATATTTGAATATAATCACAAGACTCACAATATCGTCAAAGACTGTATAAAAAATAAATAAGTTTGTAAATTTCTTGTCAAAAAAAATATAATCACAATGAAAAGACCTCGTGACAACTATAATAAGGTCTACCTCATCTTAACATTACTCATTGGAATGATAATAATAACGTTGGGGATTAAATAATTTTTTTTAAAATGATGCCTCAATTAGTGGGGAATTGGATAGAGTAGTGTGATTCAATGAACTTGCACGTGGGTCTCTTGTTGTACCCAATGACCGCCCGACCAAAATTATTAGCGGGAAAATATATATATTAGGGAATAAAAAAATTGCTCTAAAAAGGTGCAGCTGTTCTCGTGGAAAAAACATGAAGGTGGGTGGTCCGGGACAATAGTTAAATGGCACGTGTTACCGCACGTGAGGGAGAGCCTTCACCAAGTCATACGACGGTGTTGGCCCGCGCCAGCTGGCTGTCCCAAATATCGCCATCGTGGTTAGCTGGATCCGCACGTGACTTGGACCGTAACGGTACTATTACAAATATCGCGGCATACATATTGTGCTTAAGTAATGATAGAAAAATCGAAAAATAAAAATTGAATTAACACAGAATTTTATTTGATTGGTTATATTTATAACATATTAAATAATTATTTTTTAAAAATTGTTTAAGTAAATAAGGTGAAAAAAAAAACGTTAAATTCGAAACTTATTCGAGAAAATTATTTTGTGACCCTATTATTTTTTGTTGTGCAATTATACAAACTTCATTGTAATATATGAAACATAAAATTATTTTACAAAAGTAATACTCTATTTCTTTTTTCTTTTTTTAATAAAAGTAGACCGCGAGAGTGTTGTAGGAGTACTGGAAGTATCAATATGGTTTTCCAATGATTTGATTTTTTTTTTTTTTTTTGAATGATGTTATATACCGTGAGAGAATAGTTATCTTTAAAAATTAAACCTCGTGCATAAGAATACCAGTATGTTGAGAAAAAGGTTTACTTCTTTTAGAACAAATAAAATTATTTTTTAGATTTTTAATGAAGTTATATGTTTTTTTTTTTTTTTTTAATAATGTTATGTAGTTTGAGAGAAATGTTATCTTTAAAAATGGTGCATAGAATACTAGTATGTTGAAGAAAGGTGTACAACACTTTCTTTTATTTATTATTACATTCGAATA